AAGTCTAGAAAATTTTGCCTTTCCTATATACTGATTAGCCTGACATCAGCTGTAGTGAATCATTTTCTCTGTACTCTAACCTTGCCTCTGAACTCTGATAACATAATATTGAGTAACAAATTTTGAGATTCCTCTTCGTTATTTGTGAATTTCTTTTAAGTGCTATCCATTGGAATCAATTTACTAAGATATGGTTGCCGTTTATGATATTTTCCTCTCTTTCTAGTGAAGAGTCTTGCTCTCAAACTTTAGATTTTGTTGTGTACTTTTGCATTTTATCTACTAAGTCTAATACGGTTCCTGCTTGTTATTTGACTGGAGTTGCTCTTTCTATTGAAATTTCTTTCTTCTTTTAATGCAGTACCCAGAGGGTCATATATCCAGAAGCATATATGCGATTTTCAGATTAGTGAGAGCACCAACTATGGACAGCCTATTAGAAGAATTTTTTCCAGATTTGTGCTTGGCAGTGTGGACTACAACTCCATGGACAATTCCAGCCAATGCTGGTAAATCTTCTTTGAGATGTATTTGCAATTTCAACTACTAAAGGGAGATTTAAACTGAGTGATTAATCATAGCCTGTGTTCTATAGAATAAGATTCTAATATCTGTATCTTGCATCATATACTCTAATTTGGATCTTGAAGGGTAATTATCTAGGTATAAAACTAAGTTGTTTAATTGTTTTTAGAACTATGCCAGCTACCTACCAAGTTTTGACTTTTTTTTTTAATCTTAGAATCTTAGCCATTGTACTAAGTTGCATAGAAATGCTTCTTGAAAAAATATGGATTATCCCAGCATAAAATTTTCAGAATATTAAATTTCTACTTCCTAGAGTTTGAAAACTCCAGTTATCGTTTGTGGGCTTATAAGTTTGTCATATATTTTTTATAGGAGATGGTTGTGGAGAATAGAATGTTATATTTGTTATTAATGAAAGGGCTCTATATATACACAACTCTTATCATAGAAAAGGATATGTAAAATTAATTACATATAGGTGTTTCACTTTTGTACTTTTAGTATTAAATTATGCACACATATATTTACATATATATATATATATATATAAATGGACTTTTCAACACTCTCCTTCAATGATTGTCCATTCCCAATCCTGCAATGGTTGTTAAAATTGCTGGATTGCTTAGGCATTTGGTGAGCACATCTGCATGTTGCAAGTTGTTATGCATGTAGGGTGTGCAAATCAAGCCATTGTCTAGCTCCTTAATGAAATGTCTGTCAAATTCAATGTACTTTCTTCGGTCATACTGTGCTGGATTGTGAATAATGCTGATTTTTTACTTATTTTTACAATAGAATCTTACTGGGTCATCCCACTTAATTCTTAGATCTTCTAAAACATTTTCAACCATAAAAGCCAACAAACTCATGGAGCCATTGCTTAGAAATATGATTCTGTACTTGATTGTACCACCACATTCTATTTCATGCTTCTCCATGTGACTAGATTCATCATAAGGAATATGCAATAACCTGTAGTATATCTTCTATTCACTATTGATCCAGTGTAGTGTGCATCAATACAGACTTTCAGTAGCGATATGGTATTCTATCTGAATATAATATCCTTTCTTGGTTCAACATTACTCACATATAATATCAATATAGGCTTTCAGTAGTTACATGATTTGCACATTGTACATGCTTACCAACTTGCAGCTTGCAGATATGCTCACTATAAAGGCCTAAGTAATCCAATATTTCACATAATCATTCCCAAACAGGGAATAGACAATGTGTATTCTCAGCTTGAGGAGGTGTGTTGGAAAGTGTGTGTGTGTGTATATATATATGTAATTTGAGGGTATAAGAGTAAAGTACCTGTATATAATTAACTTTAGAGCTTCCCTGTCCATAGTAAGAGTTGTGTATATATAGGAAAATATCATACCTTTTCACAAATCCTAATTGACTTTCATTTTCGAAACAAAACACAAAAATCCTAAATAGGTCTGGCCTCCATGGCCTGCCACAATTACCACCCACAGCCAATCTGCATAGCCAGAATACCTCCCAGTCGCTCTGCCACATGCTGCTCAGTTGCCTCAGCCACGCACCCCAGCAGCCACTATGCATCTGCTGTAGCTGAGCACAGCACCAGCTGCCACCACTCCAGCTGTGTGCCCCTGCTCCATCTGTGCACTGGACCTACCCCAGATGTATATGCCGGTGCTGTGCAGCTGCAGCAGGTGGGCAATGGCTGTTGGGGTGCACAATTGTAGAGGCTGGCGTAGCTGGGTGGCATGCAGCAGTGGGCCATGCTTCTGGGAGGTTTTTCGGCTGGGAAGGCCGGTTGTGGGTGGTGATGTGATCAGCTATGAAGGCCAGGCCTGTTTAGGGTTTTTTTCTTTTGTTTTGTTAATGAAAGTCAATTAGGGTTTGTAAAGAAGTTACAATATCTTTTCTGTATCTCTGATACTATGTGGGAGAATAGAATATTACATTTATTATTGAATTAAAGGGTCCTATATATACGCAACTCTTAGTATAGAAAGAGAAATCTTAAAATTAATTATAGATAGGTATTTTGCTCTTATACCTTATATATTAAATTATATATGTCCTTTCCAACAGGATATAGATTTACCTTCCTAGAGGTTAAAACATAACACACACTTGTTACGGTGATCCTTCTCTTAGCCAAGAAGTCGTAGTGTTAGTTCTTTATAGAGTTCTTATAAATTGTGTCATTTGACAAGGATAGGCTGTTGTACCCACTTATATGGGCGGAATGAATACGAATATTGTTGTTATCAGATGCTGAACACATTAACAATCTCTTTCTCTCTTACTTTCTCTCTCTCATGTCTTTTTTGGGGGGACTGTTTGTTCAGCTGTTGCAGTGAACGCCAAACTTCAGTATTCTGTTGTTGAAGTACAATCATTATCAGAAGATGATTCTTCGTCCCCTGGGAGTAAGAAGAGAAGGCTGGGGAATGTTCTCAAGGAGCAAAAAAAGCTTTTCCTTATAGTAGCATCTGATCTTGTGCCAACTCTAGAAGCAAAATGGAGTGTGAAGCTTATTGTCAACAAAATGCTGCTGGGTTCAGATCTCGAAAACTGCAGGTTGAGTCAAATTAAACTATATGTTTTGGTATTTGTGTTTCTACAACTAACATTATAAAATTCTAATGCTCCATCCTCCTTAGTTGCAAAGCTTTCTTTTCAATACAAAACTGTATCATTATTTTGTAGTGTGTCGTCCAGAAATTTGCAACATAATGCATTTATTAAACTCAGGTTTTAAACTGTGTGTAGATATATCCATCCAATAGATGACAGGGAATGCTCAGTTGTTCTTGGAGGAGATTACATTACAACAGAATCAGGTACAGGCCTGGTGCATACTGCTCCTGGCCATGGACAAGAGGATTATGTGACAGGCCTGAAATATGGACTGCCTATACTATCCCCTGTAGATGATGAGGGAAAGTTCACTGAAGAAGCAGGACAGTTTAGTGGGCTTGATGTCCTTGATGAGGGTAATATTGCCGTTGTGAAATACTTGGATGAACAAATGTCTCTTGTTATGGAAGAATCATATGGTAAGACTCAGTCCAGAAAATCCACTAGCATTCTTTCTGAAGTTTATGGAGAAGCATAAATATCCAAATGTTGTTATTCAAAGAAAAAGGTAGATTGTTATGAAATTCCATCTCCTAATGCAGAACACAAGTATCCATACGATTGGCGAACTAAGAAGCCTACAATATTTAGGGCAACTGAACAGTGGTTTGCATCTGTAGAAGGGTTTCGTCAAGCTGCTATGGATGCGATTGCTCATGTAAAATGGGTACCACCT